TCATCTGCATTACTCAAATACACTATTTTAATCTACTCTATTCTACTCTGTTTCATCTTGCACTATTTTATTTAGTTTTTATTCATCCATTTGTTTTATTATTTTATGTCCTACAGTACTATTTTGCATTGTTGGAGGAACTCTGGACGTTTTTTAATTCCCATACCTACACTGTAGCTACAGTGCATACAAAAAAGCCTTTGAATGATTGAATCTTGAAATGTTACATTGCTTTACCAAAAGAACTGCAATTATGTTTCTTAGAGTTGAAACACAACCCAAACATCCTGAAATCTAACAAAAAGTGTAATGATTAAGTAATTCATCTAGTTATGAGTTAGTTACTAGTTACTTCATTAGTTACTAAATTATAAAAGTAACTAGTAACAAGTTACTTTAATTTAAAAATAATAACAATAAAAATACAAATGTTTGTGTTGTTCCGTGGCACAGTAAGACAATACTTTCTGTCCTGCAAACAGTTTACATTTGACCGTAATATTTTTTGCGTCCTTTATCCCCACAAATTGAAAATAGTGGTTATATCTCCAAGTTGTAAATGCGCTGCTGCTCTCGCTGATACTTGCATCTGCCATTGTGTGTGTGTGTGTGCTGGTGGTGAGCGTTGCCGTGTGTGTGTGTTATAGCATTAGCAAGTGATGTGTATTTTCCCCATAAGGCAAGACCCGCCCAACTCTGTCTCTGATTGGCTTACCCTGAAATGTTACCCCGCGTTAACCAATCATCACTCCTCTCTGGTTACTTTCACTTTTCCATGGTGCTGTGAGAGGACATCGCTGTATTCGCCTGCAAGTTAAATCCGCAGGGAGATTCGGTTCAGTTCCATCACATAATATAACGCAGTAACGCACCCATTTAAATCACAGTAACTATAACGGCGTTACTTAATGGGAATAGGTTACTAGTAACGCTATTAGTTACCTCAAAAAGTAGTTGCGTTACAGTAACGCGTTACTTTGTAACGCGTTAGTCCCAACACTGCTTATTACACACATGACTACACATCCAAACAAAACATAACATAAAATCAATCAGCCCTAATCAGCGCGCTTTTGGATTATGGAAAGACAATAGTACGAGACGAAAATAAACAAGATCAAGGAGAAAAACAAAAAACGGCATATAAAATATATTTGCCTGTTTTCTGTGTTGAATGCAATTCTCTGCTCTCATTATCAGTGGACTAAACGTAAATGGTAAAGGCAGCAGAAAACTTTTATTGGGGACACCACTTTTGCTCACAACCTCTGCTTCTCTTATGCTAACAAACCAAACACCCTTTATGTGCCAAACTAGCTGAGACTTTTTGTCTTTTTCCAAGCATCCCTTTGTCCTTCTCTGATACGCACATCTGAAAATCATCAGGTATTGGTGCCTCAATAATAATGTATTCTCTCTTATTTGACTTTTTAATGGGCTTTCATCTAATTATATTATGAGAGGGAACTCAGTTGTCGGGGAACAAAAGGAGGTCAGATTTGGAACGATGGCACATGGCCTGATCCGCTCCGGTACCCCCCTGTGCCTGATGATAAATGTTCCCCTTGAACATGATGTCAATATGTTGATGTGCCTTCCTTTATTAAGATACCATCCAACTGATAACAAGTCTTGCTGTGTGTTACCAACATAAATAATTAGAACAGAGACCAAGGAACGGCAGGTGGCTTTTGGCACAAAGAAATAATCATACTTGATGTGGAAAATAAAGTAAAAGGACCCATCTGTTCACGGCAGGGGGAGGTGAATAAACACGTTAACATATTGTCAGTAACATTATGAAATACACAGTTAATCATTTAGTCATGGCACATGGCTCCGGACACTTGTTTGAAATAATCGAACAGAAGTGAGCCAGCGCCTGCTTCAAGGCTTCAAATGAACCGCACATTTGCACACTCATGACTTGTCCACCGGCCATTTTGTCACACGGTCTGCCAAGTATTTACCCAAAGGGTTAATGAAGAAAGAGATAACAATGGCATGAAATGTGGAAATAACCAATATTGGACAGAATTCAGGGTTCAACCGTCCACTGCTGTTGCTTTTTCTTGCCTGATATAAGATCAGGCAAGAAAAANCAGGAGTGACTCTACCTGAGTGACTCTATTCATAGGCGCCATAGGGAGAGAGATAGAGAAGTGAAACCGACACTCACCCCCGCGGGACGATCGGTGTAGGGAGTGAAAGTAGTGATGTCGCGGGTAGCATGTCCCTTTACCTTACATTGGCCCAACTTTTTTCCCACAGATAGAAATGAATAATACTTACAACAATGTAGTTCCGACTTTTAAGCAAAAAAAAACCATAATATAGAACACCTTCACGTCTAGGGGACAGGAGGGGTCCCGCCACGACGTCGTGGGAGTCGTGGGATGAAGGGTGTGGACTTTGTCAGTTTATCCATAATCCAGTTAGAGTAAACCATCACCATACTAAGTTCACACTTGGTAATATACTATCTCACTTTGTAAAGGTTATAGTTGAGAAAGATTTCATTCGGATGAAATTAAGTTTTTTACATAAAGGTGTAGAACTTAGTTGAGTCTTAGGTTAAGCAAAAGTTCAATAAAATTGTATACTTAATTACTTTTATTTTCTTACTTTCGTAAGTCTCCCTGACGTCGAGTGAAGTTCAGAACAATTAAATGAAATAAAGATACATCATGTTGCACTGAGGTGTATCTACCACCCAGTATGAGTATGAAACCAAAGACAGACCTAACAGACCAAACCACAGATCTTCGTAGCCAGTCACAAATCAGTTACATGTGAACATTAAAAGGTTAGAGAGGTACGCCTAGTGTTCCCCACTTGATTACCTCGTGTGGAAAATTATATAATATATATATAATATACATAAAGGATATAAAATTAGACTACGTCATTTGTGGGTTTCTTGGTCTCAGACTATTTTGTGTGTCTCAAACAATTTTGAGTACGAAATTTAATCATAATGTCATACATTCCGACAAGGAGAACTAAATAACGTCCACACACACAAAAAAAACGTGTGAAGGGACAATCCTTTTTGGTTATTGGTATCCATTAATATAATTCAGTCTATTTTTAAAGAACCTTCATTATGTCTTGTTTTTTTTTAACAACGGGGAGGGAATCGTGCCACAAGAAAGGAGACTCACTATTGGTGGTACAATAATCCGGTCACTTGGGGAGTCTTGCTTACCTTAATAAGAAACAGACGGGACAACAATCACTCGTGGTGGTTACAATCGTCTTTTAGTTTTGAAGTTGTCTATTGTTACTTTGTCCAGTTATCGTTGATATAACCTAGTGGAATAATATAATATCAATAATAATATAACAAACATGAATTACAAATAATAATAGCAAGTTATAAATAACGTGTTCCTACTGATACTGTAACACCTAGGTACAATAATTCCCCCACGCATTAAGTGTCGTGTACCACACTTGTACACATGGGAAATGCGTGTTAAGATAGTTTTAATTTGGACACTGATATCTAGCTGTTGATGCTAGTATCTGTCGATATTTAGTACAAAGTCCTTAGTTGTTGTTTTTAGCATTATAAACATCAGTGGCACACGACACAGAAAAAGGAGGTGTATAGAATACAAGTAGCACACTATGTTAGACTCGCGTTGTACGCCGCGCCACCATGCCCACCTCAGTAGGGGAACAAGAGTGGTACACGAGGCGGCGCACGCGACTAACCTAACGTTGAATGGGCCGATGGTGGTGACATACTCTCCGACACACACCAAAAAAGAGTGGGCATTCCTTTGCGGGTGGGTATACTGGCCATTTCAGTCCAAGTTGACTTTGTGCGACGGACGTGAGTCTGATAGGTCCTCTTACATACCTCATCCCTGCTATGGAGACTGACTCGATGTATTAAAAATTTTGGGATAATCTTAAATTCAGTCAACGAGTAAATTTATAGAAAGTACTTGAACTTAGACTGTAATAAGACAACAGTAAAGTTAGGATATGTAAATAGTTCCTGGACATAACCCTAACCCGACATCACAATTTATGTAAACAAATATTTCCAAGGTACACCTTTATAATTATTAGGATAAATCAAAACAGGTTTGAAATCATTCCAATGTATACTATAGGACAGTAAACCAAAAATATCGTTTAAAACTGGAGAGATTTAAAAATATGCATAAATAAATAAATGTTAACTGGTAAAATAAGATATGAATGAACAATACAAATAAAATAAGTTACATTTATTTGTTATTGGCTATGGTAGGTTATTGGAAATGTTCACATACTTATTTGATTAATAAAATGCAAACCGATCTGTTGTACCCTCTAGATCAGTCTAGTAATTGGGCGCTCAAAGTGCACCAGATTGAAGCATTTGACTTTAAAATGTTTAAAAAATCTTCCCGGGGGGGAACCACCGGACCCCCCTAGAGGATGTGAAGTCCACCCCTCCAATTAAAACATGTTATAACACTAAATAAATTTGAAGCCTTGTTATATAAGCTGTCCACCATGTCAATATGTTTATCTTTTTGTAGTGTATTGGTCTTTTGTAGAGGTTTTTCATTGCCAGCTAAAATCTTGCCTATAGGGCAGCACATTGGTCAGAACCAGCCCTGGTGTCATCCCCACAGCACCCCCCATTTGAAACATGTTCCCACGGCGATGCTTGGTTTTCCAAGTTGACTTGATGGTAATGTGAATACTAGGTATTGCAGCAGCCTACTATTGATTGATATCTAGAAGTGGGTAAAATATAAGATTGCATGAACTCTGCTTTGTTTATAAAAAATAGTAATGCGCAGAGAACAGAATATGCAAGGGTCACTGGGAATTAAAGTAACAAGTCTTGGAGGATGTGGTGGCTAAAATCACACATATCTAAAAGGCCATTATTTACAGTCCATGGAAAACAACTGCACGTTTTCAGCATTGAAAAAACTGCGCCACCTAGAGGACAAAACATTAAACAACACAACTGGATCCCATCATGCTTTGCCGTGCCCGCCGACCCGAAAGCTACCGATGCTAGGCTAACTGTCGTTAGCTACCGGGAGCGGACATGTTGTACCGACCCTTCCTTTAATAAACATCACTGTAAGCAGGGAAACGGGAGTTAAGGAGAAGGCTGCGAGAGTCGGGCAATCATGGATGCCGTCAACGCCTTTAACCATGAGGTAAGCTTCCTCCAGGGACCATAGAGACCCAGAAGTTACCGAGTCTGGCTGGTCATGGTGCTGTGTTGCTCTGAGCTAGCCGAGTGGCACTGACCACTGGGCCGCTCGGCTAGCTAGCTGGACTTGTGCACCGTACCTAGCTTAGCATTTTGCTACTGAGGTAGCATGAGTTTTGTGGCGCAAGTTATGTTGAAATTGGAACATAATAGAGTGTTGAGCTAACTTGCAAGCTAACGCAACGATAGCAAGTGGTTCTAGTAGTAACCTTGCACAAAGTTCGGTAATACCAACGTTAGCTTGTGGGAGCATGGCTACTAACATTGTTGTTGGAAACAATGCTACGGGCACATGGATTACACTAATGTTATTGTCATGCTGCAAGCTACAAACAAAATATGCATTACCGCTTCAGTGTGTTTAGAAGATGCCAGGCTACGTTTCTCTTAGGCCCGAGGACTGATGGGTAATGGGGTTAATAGTCCAGTCAAAAAGGCAGGTTTAATAATCTTTCAGTGTTTTTGGTTCCTGTCGTTTCTTTTGATGGCATTTTAACCTACGGATGAAATTATTTATGTGGCTGGGCTACACATTATCTACACTTCATATTTGTTGTTTTGCACAAAATCTTTATAACACCGTATGTGTCTGGCGGTTCATTTCTTGCACTTTCAATATCAGTTTATGCTAGAGAAAGTAGGTGATAAGCTACTTCCTCTCTTATGTGAATGTAGAGCACTGTTAGATATACTAAACACATGAGGAATGTGTCAGTGCCTGCTTCATTTACCTGTTAAATTAGCAAACATTTAATTCAGTGATGTCAAAAATGTATTTATCTAATGCACAGGACCATTTAGGTAAGCTCAGAACAAGAACTAGTCCCTATTCCACCACACAGCTAAGAAGGTGTTGCCACACAGCTCTAGTTTGTTCTTATTTTCATTGCAACATACTATAGCAGTGCGGTATCTTGTCATTGATTGCCCTTATCACTTCAGAAAAGTCAACATGTATCATGGTCCCCTCAGTCCCGTGGAGTATTTTATACTTTTCAAAACCACATTACAGAGTGGCAGGTCTTCATGTGTCCATGTTGTGTAGCCGATGGAAAATGGTGAACAATAGAAAGGAGGGAAGCTTAAATTAGTTTGAAGCAGACTGCAATGTTACACCAAGGTTTTCATCACCATAGCTACATCAGAAAAAAAATCAACCATGGCACAAGTAAAAAAAAAGTGGCAGACAATAACAGATCAGTAATCCAATATGCAATTACTAACTGGTTATACACCTGTTCAAATTGCGATATCTATTACTTGAAGGTAATGTCAGGTTTAAATCTGCAACTAGTTTCTTAAGCCATGTTCTCTGTGTTATACCTTTTTTTCTTCCTGTTTTATCACCCTTCCCATCTCACTGATCTTATCATCTCCTCTGTCTGTAGTTATTCTCATTGATTGACACCAAGCCCCCAATCTCTCGGGCTAAGATGATCTCCATCACAAAATCGGCCATCAAAGCTATGAAGGTAAGAATGGACTTGGCATTTCTTGTTTTGAAAATTACTCATTTATTAGAAAAATTGCCTACATCTGGTTGATAACATGCTCACCGGCTTCTCTGTTTCTCAGCTCTACAAACATGTGGTCCAAATTGTGGAAAAGTTCATCAAAAAGGTAAGACAGGCCTACCTCAATCAGTTACTTTCCATTTTCACCTCACCAAACATGAATAAACTACATCTGTTTTTCTTTTTCTCCCCTCTCCAGTGTAAGAGTGAGTACAAGATAGCGGGGCTTTATGTGGTGGATTCCATTGTTAGACAGTCCAGACACCAGTTTGGATCAGACAAGGACGTGTTTGGCCCAAGGTTCACCAAAAACATAACGGGAACCTTTGAGAACCTCTGCCTATGCCCAGAAGGGGACAGGGTAAGAAAACGATGAGTTGGTGAAAAATCAAAGTGTGAATATTGACTGCCTGAAAGGATTGAAAGGTCTTGTTTCTTCTAATTACAAATCCTGAGCTTTTTGTTATTTTTTTCTATTTTTCTTTATAGAGTAAAATCATACGGGTGTTGAACCTGTGGCAGAAAAATGGAGTGTTCAAGATTGAGATTATTCAGCCTCTCCTGGACATGGCAGCTGGCTCTTGCAGTGCTGCTGCACTCTTAGCAGGCTCCGATGACCCAGGTAATTTGTGTGCTTGTAAACAGTGGTGATAAGTGTCAATTAATCATATTTATTTATTTTATTGAACCAGTTTTATAATCACAAGTTAGCTGTTTCTGAGTTGTTGCATTCACTAATAAAATACTGGCTTAGTAAAGAAATGTGTACATTTTATATTTCATCATGCATACATTTTTTTTAGCATCGCTATACTTCAGTATCAATATGCTGTTGTTGTTTCTTGCCCTCAGGTTTTTCCCCATCTCCAGCCAAAGAGCCCGTTACTGCGGTAACGGCAAACTCCACCATGACATCCACTTCTCAGCTGCAAAACTCTGACGCCTTTGCTGCCGTGGCTCAGCTCTTCCAGTCCACACAGGGTCAGCAGGTGAGTGTGCGTACCAGTGCCGACTCTTATAAGCTTTGACCACCGTCACAGTGCTTGGAACTTCTTTGCTTGCACATCTCTCACACCGTCACTAATAACTCTTCTTCCATTCTTAATTTAGCTTCAACAGATGCTCCAGACTTTCCAGCAGCAGCCAGTGAAGCCTGAAACAAACACGTCTCTCCATACCACTCAAACGCAGGCCCAACACATCACCACTGGCCCGGGCATGGCCCCCCTGCAACCCCCGCAGCCCACCCAAACCGCCCAGCAGAAGGCAGCCTTTGACAAGGTAGCAGTTTGTTTATTTATATTCATTTGTCATCAGCAGCTAAATGTACTCTGAACTGTAATGTTTAGACACTTGGACAGTGTTTGGAGTGTGAGTAATTTACGGGTCTGCAAGCTCTACTATGTTAAATACATCATACTTTGTGCACTTTTTTACAACCATTACCTTTTTCTCTCTTAGAAATTGCTGGATCGCTTTGACTATGATGATGAACCAGACTTTGGAGAAGAGGCGAAGAAGGATGAAATGTCAACTCAGCCCTCTTTGTAAGCGAGACTACTCATAATATAAGCAGCTCTGCAAAGCTAAGCAGCGGAAAGCTCTGATAGATTTTTGAAAAAATGAACTAAAAGCTGTAAGGCTAATGAAGTATTATGTGTCCTCACAGCATGCAGAACCCTCCAGGCTTCCCACAGCACATGGAGCACTTTAAACCTCCGATGCTCAACATGTTGCAAGACGTCTCACAACAGGTAATGGTTTGATCATTGTGTTCTTTATTACCCAGCTTTACTTAAAACCTTTAAATGCCATCAAATATAAGTTTCCTATCACTACATCAATGTAAGCTTTTGCTACCACCATGTTATGCACTACCTTTAAATAGTTGATATTATTTATTAAGTCAGAGCAACTTTTTGTGCAAACTTCATTCTATTTGTTAAAAAAAACCAGTTGTCGTGCACAATATTGATTCCAGTGTTGTTCCACAGGTTCCTCTCCCTCCGAATGGCCAGCTCCAGGCCTACGGTTTACCGCCAGCGCAAAGCTTCCCAGGTATGGTGCCTCATATGGGGCATGCTTTCCCAGGGCAATCCCCCCCTGGTTCTGCTGGGCCTCCAGGCTTCCCCGGGGGATACCCTCCCCACAATGCTGCCCATCAACAGGTAGGCTTTCAAAGATACAAAGATATGTTGAATCTGGGGTTCATTCAGTTTGGAAAATGTACTTCCAGAACGTCGTTTTATTTGCATTATAATTGAAATCTGGGAATTTTGGGAAACGGCTAAATGTGAATGTTCAAAAGGTTTTATTACATCATAATCATGCCTTTTTTTTTATAGGAAGTGTCAATGGATTTGGACCGTTCATCTTCAAGGGATGGCAGACATGGTCGACGGTCACACTCAGGCTCCAGGTAAGCAACTGAAAATGGATGTGATGTGTCCAACTGAGTTTCTGGGTTCGCTATTCATTCTTTACTATTTATGCAGATAAGTACAGTGATGCAAATTAGTCGCTTTTCGGCGCCTCCCGCTTTTTTAACGCTGCTTTGGGTGACTTGTGTAATTCGTGGAGAACCGAAGAGTTTTCGTTTTG